AATCCTTCTCCAATCACATAAGGCACTGTTGACTGTAAAGAGTAGCACAGAAGACTGAAGAAACACCTTCTTATCTCTCTTGGTGCAAAGCAAGGAAAAAAAATGAAAAAAGGAATACAACAGAAAGAGGTAAAAAAAAGCCCAATCTCCCTTCTATTCAGTAACTGATAAATATAAAGTTGGTAGAAAGGCAACAGTAGTAGCTTCATGCTAAATACTCTGCATTCATTAGGTAAGACCAAACGACAGTTCTGTATGTATTTTTAAAGACTTTAATTTTCAAATGATGCAGGATTAAAGCAATATATTTATTTCTAGTTTACAGGGTTCACCTGTCTGGCCACACCTGCCAGTAGAAAAGCTCAATTGCCATGAAGGGAAGTCAGTGAAAAATTATTTACCTAGAATGAACTCTTTCTTTTTGTCATCCAAACTTCTTTCTAGGAATTAGTCATTACTGTGTACTATGCAACAATCATGTTTTAACTAGTGACCACTCATACATGTTTACTGAGGTGAACAGTGCTCAGTGATAGCAATCCCACTTTGAACACTGAGATATCTGGGTGTACTCTATGCTTCAAGGATAAGAGTGTTACAAAAAGACTTAACAAATCTGGACTCCATTGTTATTGGTTTGGGTTTTTTTTTAATTGTTTGCTTGCCTATTTGCTTCCCAGTTTACAGATGAAAGAGGAGAGTCTGATGAGGTCTCATGACATGAGACAAAAGGAGCTACTCCCTGATATTTATGAAACTGCCAGGAAAACAAAGCCAGATCTTCAGCGAGCCTCAAGCGCTACGCGTTCCACCAGACACTATTCCCTTAATAATGCTTAAGGATTTATAAACACTCTCTCAAACCAGCCTCACTGCTTCTCAGCCCTGCCATCAAGCCAATTCCCTTTAAGACATCACAGTTTTTGTCAGTGGAGGTAGCACAAGGGTCTCTGTGCTGTGGTTCTCCTTAAGACATGAAAAGAGAGAATGGCTTTAAAAGCATCTTTTTTTAGGTGCTGGGGGAAGAGGTAAGACCTGGCACAATTAAGAGAAGGGATACATCTAAGCTTCATGTATGCTATATTTTTAAGTCTTCTCACAATAAATTTGGAAAGACGCCTTAATGAGATGGGGATGACGTCTGAAAGCGAAGGTTTTTATTTGGGGAAGAGGGGAAAGAGCTGCTCAGTTTCTTTATGCGAATGCAATGTGAGTCACTTCACAGTTACCCTCTGTGGATTAATTCACTCTGCAGTGAATCTGCTTGTCTATTCAGACTGGAAGGCTTAGCTTGTCAGTGCTGCCATGAACAGAAGCTGTCAATAATGAGTTTGCAGCTGCAGGTGACACATGCCTTAGAAATTCAATTAGCAAAAAAACATGTGGTACAAGAAATGGCTTTCCTAAATGATGTCAAGGGAGATCACAGGAAAAACTGTATTTGGAATATGGCTGCTCAGTATAACTGGGGCTGAACAGTTTAAACAGAGTTTGTAAAACCACAGCTCCCAGTTGCTGGGAGGAAGAGCAGTTTCTGCTAGTCTAGACCTATTCACTGTCAGGGTCACGGGAGGGCAGGAGACCCCCACAGCTCCTGTTTCACCAAAAACAAAAGGGAAGTCCAACCTTTAGCCTTCCCAAGAGCCTTTCTTTGGATTAATCTTTCACCTGCATGCAACATAGTTCACTGGATGATTCCTGAAAGCAGATCAGCCCAGCTCTGTTCCCCAATCACGCCTCTCACACTGTACAGCCAACAGACAGGGAATATATCCAGGTGTGCAACCACACTGGTTCTTCCTCTCCACTCTCCAGGCTTTAGCACTGAAAGGCTGTACTATCAAATATATGTTAATCATTAAAAACAAACAGAAGTAAGTAAATATGATGACATACCTGAAACAAGCAGAAAATGAAGTAGCATATTTTTCACTAGAGCTTACAAAGCCATTATCCAAAACACCTATGCACAGAAAATAGTCAGAGGTCATAGCCTAAAGATACCTACCTTAAATGAGGATCATTCAGCATATTGACAAAGTTTCATCTATCAGCTTTGAAACGGACTAAGCAAATAACTAACTAAACCCAGGGTTTTGGTTTGTACAAAACCATTTCTTTCATTATCTTCAACTCCCTTTTTATTATGTTCTTACTCTGCCACAGATCTAATAGCACTCCTGCATCAGTGTGGGTAATGCTACTCATGCTCTGGCAGCTGTAGGATTTTTATGGGCATTTGAATTCAGAGTCACATGCTCAAGGGAAAGTGAGAAGGCAGTTGGATTCAGCATCCAGCATCACAGCTAACACTGCCCTATCTAAAATCATATTAAATCAGAGATACACGAGATGACATAAAAAGCATGGGGATGGGAAAAGAGATAAGATGAAAATAGAAATGGGACCAGAAGAGTTGGAAGAGAACAAGGAAGTCTCATTTCTGAAAAATAAGCATGCCCTCTCAAAAAAAAAAAAAAAAAAAAGAGTTTTAAACCCAGAAATGCTCTTTATCTTTTTGGTAATGGATAATAAAGAATGATAATGCAAAAGGTAAAGGCCCTGCACTGCTTTATTTCTCCTCCATGAGTAAAATATCCAGTCAAGCAAGTAATGAAATGTAAACCACAGTGCACTTCCTATTTTGAGGTATGATGTGCAACGCCAAATTTTTGCTACTTTGAATCAAATAAAGTGTCTCAGCAGTAAAATATTTTCACATCTTCTCAACAATGTCATTTTGCCAGTTTCCTCTCATTTTCTACAAGAAATTGTGATTTGAAGCTGATCAAAATCCCTTTTCTATGAAAAGCAGACGCACCTACGCTCTCCATTTCTATTCCAAAGGCAAATACAATTTAAAAACTATCTCTGTAGCTCTCCTCGCCCAGCTGCCTTTGGTTGGCACTGTGGGAACCTACAGCCCATAGGACATAGCACTATTCTCAGTACTGGAGGATGAGTATAGTAAAACCACCAAAGGTACCTGGGGACAAAGTGCCTTTGAGCTTGTGGGAGGCTGAGCCATGAGGCAGGCAGAATCAGTGGGCTGGTCCCTTAGCAAAGCTGAAACAACAGGCTTCAAAGGGCACAACAAAAAAAAAAAGCATGCATTTGCTGAATAACACACAGACAACAGCGCTGCTCCCCCTCTCCCACTGCTCTGCACATGTCTGAGAAATCCAAGGCTTCTGCCTCCATCACACATGGCAAGTCAGACAGGTATTCTTGGGGTCAGCAAAAACAGATGGAGTACAACAAGGAATCTTGCTGTATCAAAATAATAATAATGGGAAAAACCACTTCTCAACCACCTGGTTAAGAAGCAATTGTAATTGCAGCCCCACCCATCCTTCCCCTAAAGTTTCCTAACAGTCTCCTTAACACACTTGCTCCTTGAAAAGCCACTGGACTTCACAGCAGGGCCCAAACATAGGTGAGAAATGCTTTCTGAAATCTTTAGGAAAGCCTTCCCAACCACTCTAGCCACTGCCCTTTCCTTTTTCTCTCAGGTGAAAGCTGTAACAGACTAATCTAGCCCAGTTCAGCTGCACCAGTCTCTATCACTGCATATGATCTCTAACCAACTCAAGATGAAGGGAGAACTATATCAAAAAAACTCCATATTCTTAAAAGTTATCCTCCCTCTGGCAAGAGAGCCACTTAAGTAGTACAAGAGCAACAGCATTATGTTCTAAATTACACCTGCTAATCTGCAATACCCTGCACTCAAGCTTGCTACAACCAACTGAAATATCATTGAAATGTCTGGAAAAGAGCAATCCATGAAAATAATCAAAAGAGCAGAATGAAAGATGTAAGAGCACCTGAAGACAGAACTCTTTAAATGTAGATTGAAACTGCAGAGTCTAACTGCAGATTGAATCTAAGCCTCAAAACGTTATTGATTTTTATACGAGGGGGCAAATGAAGAAGCTAGTGTTCTGCTCTCAAGAAAATAATTAGGAAGAAGTTGCTCTCAGATGAGCAGGAATAACCAAAGGTTTACATGCAACACATTTTGGTCTTTGGCCCAACTGCCACCTCTTCACTGCAAAAACTGCAGCTTCCCACGTCTTTCGCAATATCCCTCTCAGTCCTTGGCAGAGAAAGGACGAGTGTAGTGACCAGAATGAAGGTATGCTTGAGCTTGCTGCCCAGACTGCCTTCTGCTGGTAAGAAGAAACACATAAGCAGCATTCTGCTTGTTTTGCTCACAGGTGGGAGAAAGAGGGTATCTTCTCGGCTTGAATGCAGAATTTTACACAACTTTTAAGATCTTGCTTATCGTTGAGAATTCCACTTCAGGACTAAATTTACTTAAATTTACTTTCAGAACTTGCTCAAAATTAATTTGACAAAGCATGAGACAGCATAGTGTCATGCTTCCCAAGGACACTAGGCTAAATCCATCTTGCAGAATTCTACAAGTAGTCTTCTGTTCACATTAATATTTTCCTGAGGGTCTACAGTGAGATCTTATCAACTTACTTCAGAGAACCCTGCAGTGTTTGCAGTCACTTAGCACAAAGCCCCAAAACTTTCAAGCAGTCCAACCTGACCACGGCACTCACTGCAGTCAAATGTCCCAATACTCACTGCAGATTCGGGGTCTCTGCCCACCGGCACTCAGACTAACAATGTACTAACTGCAGGTGCATCCCACGACCTTCTCAGGATATCATTTCCCCCCTTCTCCTTTTCAACAATCTTTACAGGCAAAACAAAAATCATAGCAACAGCAGCAGTCTCTCTAACCGTAAAACGTGCTGCAGTCTCACTGAGGAAAACCACAGAACCATGGCAAGCGTCGCATTTTCACCACCCAGACAGACACCTCACCCATGTGAGCAAAAGCCAACCTCAAAATGCACCTTCTAAACACAATAATGAGTGCCCAGATACCATTGCTTCCGGTAGTCTCTGCTCTTTGATCACCTGTTCTTCCACAGCTGAACTTACCCTGTCAACAACAGAGCCCCCCCAACAATTGCACTCACCTCTATGGGCTCAGAAGGGATTTCCAATTTGGATAGTTTGGCTTTGGCATTTGCCTTCAAATCTGAGATTTTTTCATAGGGTTCTCCATGGTATTCCTCCAGGAGAGGTTTGAGCTCTGGTGATTCAACTGGTGTCTGATCTTGGCCATCCATTGGTCTGACATAGGCAGTTGGTTTCTGCTGCATTGCACTGGTTTTAGATGGCAAAGGTGGGGGAAAAGTCTGAGAGGAAGGCTGAGTGGTGCTGGTCAGGTTAACGGCTGAGCTGTCCTGACTTTCCTTCTCCTGTGATCCTGTCACTATGTCCTGAGATGGTTTTGTTTGACTGTAGGTCGGCCTATGACTTTTGCTGCTGTTCTGTGACTTGGAATTGATAGGCTGGCTGGAATGTTGAGGTGACAGGGGTGCCAATGGAGAAGGCAAAGATGACATCAATGGAGAAAGAGCCAAAATGGAGGTCTGCAGTTCATTAACACGACCTTCACCAACCGCATGCCTATCATTTCTCTTGTGGTGAAAACCTGCATGACTTTCCTGGCCACCACGACTGTGTTCTTGACCTTGGCTTTGACCGTTGGATAAGCCGTGACCCTTGGCATGCAAACCTGAAGTTGGTTCTGTTCTCAATTGTGCCTTTTGGTAGTGAATGGATTGGCTTGGCGGGGGAGGAGCTACAACCATAGGTCCCATGGGTGGATGGCAGGTTGTACGGTGGAATGAAGATGGTAATGTATGGCTGGTCTTTTCAGGGAAGTATGGGCGATGAGGTTTTCCTTGTGGGATCAGAGGAGCAACACTTTTTGGAATCCCTATGAGCTTCTGATGGGATTTGTTGCTCATGAACTCCTTGACCTCCTCATAATTGCCCAGCATGTTCTGAATTCGGCTTGACAACTCATCTTCTTTATTAGTCTGCAACAGAAGAACAGAGGGGCAGAAATTTTAAAAGCACACACACCCCACCCCAAGAGATCCAGCTCAAGAAGAGACATTCTTCAGGATCTTATTTTAATCACCATGCATCACCACAAGTGAAGTTATGTAAGCTCATCTTGATCCTCAATGCAGTCTCCCCAAAGCACTGCTCTTGTCAGCATTAGTTCTTTTGAGCCAAGATCGCAGGTGTGCCTGCAGTCCTCAGGAACACTAACATCAGACCAGTTTGCTTCAACCATAGCTGCAGACAAACAGGCAGCCAAGCTGCTCTCCAGCACTCTCCCTCAAACTCCCAGACTACAGGAGGCCCCCAAATAAATCTGCCCAACCCAAAGTCCATGCTGCACTTGCACCATTTGCAGAGCTTTAAGCACTACTCTGATGAATTTAAGTTAAGCATATGGGAAGATGTTGTGTTTGCATGTATCATGCTCAAGTATCTGCTATACTGTATGCAGAGGCCACAGCTCTCCTCTTCCACCCCAACCCTCTTTGCTACTCCCCTCCACCATTACCTTGTAGGGTTCTGCAAAGAGGGGAGTTTTCTCAGGGAACCTGTCTTTCTCCTGCAGAGCCTCCTGATTCCGCCTCTCTCTCTCTCTCATACGCAGCAAGTTTCTGTCTTCGTTGTACAAGCTTTAGGAAAGAAAGAAAGTAAGGATAGTTAACACTTTACACCATCATTACCAACAAGTATCTGCTTTGTGCAGAAAACATGTTTTTCAGACAACAGCATACATCCATCATGAAAATATTTTTAAAATCCACAGGGTGGTTACAACTGACAAATCAGTTATGTCAAGTATTTGCCGTACCACAAAGTAATGTAACATAAAAGGTACAGCATGCATCCTTCTCAGTGATTTCTACCCTTGACACCATATACATCAAGAAGGGTGGAAAGGGAAAAACTATCCATCCATTTAGTTGTGAAACCCATGTTGATTTCTCAATTTGTGTGATAAGCGCATGAGCTGGCAAATTCAGTTGCAGTGATCAATGTTAAAATTGCCATTCTTGTTCTTCTCCAGGCTTCCACCCCAACTCTTCACTTGAAAGTAAAAAGAATACACTATTTTGAAGGTGGTGTCACTTTCAGAGATTGAACTTTTCTTACTCTATAAACAGGCCTGAAAACTCGCTCTCTATTTTAAATGGACATTTGAAAGCTGCTTACTTGGCAAACAATGTAGTTGCATTTAAAGTCATCACATAAATGTATTTAAAAAGGTCTCAGAAATTTAGTAAACACTAAGCTGAATCCCCCCATTCGTCCTCAACCACATATGCATGCACTCAATTCCACCAGCCCCACAGCAAAACACCAATAAAGCTGTGTCACATGCACAGCAAGATGACTTTATGGAAAACCAGATTCTTTAGACTACACCTCCTCTGTGAAATACTACTGCAAAATAAGGGGATCTGTTGCTCTGACATTTATGGACATTTGGGAAGAAAAGGAATGCAGGCATATATGTCGATGCAGGTATTTCCTCTCTTATTTCTCCTCTACTGCTGTCTACTGTATACATACAATTTTATATGCTTCTTAGTACACTCAGCTTCAAGTGTCCCAGTTTGGAAGGGAAGAGCCTTGTCATCTCCATCACTGCCATTTTCTCAAATAACATACCAGTAATCATCTACTGAAGGTTTAATAATCCCTAAAGGAGAGGTAAAGGATCGGCTTTGCTGTAACAGTTAACCAAGAGGTCTGTCTACTGCAGAGGCAGTTTCCTGACTCAATGTGAGCTCTGGAAAACGATGCTGTCTGATGGCAAATTTCCATATATGGAACTGCAGCAAGGATTTATTTGTGCCACTTAGACAAAAAAAAAACCAACAAAACACATATTCAGGGGTTAGACTGTGCACATTTAAAATAGTTTCCAACTCTGTTAGTGCTGAACTGTTTCCAAGCATAGCAAACCAGAAATTTCCAGTAAGCTTTCTGTACCTCACTTCTGCAAACAATTTAAAAAAATTATATTAAAAACATTAAAAAAAGTCACAGATCACCGATTCAGTAAATATACACAATCCTTCAGTTACAAACAATATATAATAGAAGCATTTCCTCTGTGCATCTGATGTCATTTTGCATGTCAGCAATTTCGTATCTATAATCAGTTAGTTGGCCAGTTGTCCTCTGTGCGCCAGGAAAGCTTTGTGCAGCCACATGTGAAAGACACCAACTACAGAACACAAAAAGATTAGGAGGAAGCGTAAGGTAAACTAGAAGCAATCTTGGCTGCACCTACTACTTGAAATTGTATGCATGCAAATGATTTTCCAAGTGAATGCCTTTCAAGTTGACAGCATTTTTTTAAATATATCTGTTCAAATTATCTGGAAAATTTTTACTGAATGAAACACCATTTTCCAAACATTCCGGGAAGTAAAGAATGATTCTGTAACTATCCTTCATATAAACTTTAAAAAAAAAAAAATCCCTTGACAGCAAGCATGAAAATACCACAAAAGATTGTTTTAACAGCTAAGTCACTGGCTTTTAGCATAAAGAGATCTCTGAAACCTCCTCTTCACCAATCTGTGACACCATTGTCCCAGCATCAGGAACACCAACACCAACTGCAGAACAAATTTTTTTTTTTTTTATTTTTCTGATAGGCACGACTTAACCTGGATCAATCAGCTCCTCTTCTGCTCCCCCAGCCTCCAGTCCATTTTTCCTGTGGCTGCACAGGCACTCAAGTCAACACAGTGGGGAGGGCAAAGGAACAAAACCACTGCCCTTGGAGGCAATCCTCGCTTCTTACTATTTCCCAGTTTCTTTGCCCAGCAGTCAGCATCTTCCTTTAAATTATACAACTTTTTTGCAAGGAGCTATTCTGATATGTTCAGGCTAATCAGGACTCTTATTGCAACCAAGTGCTCAGCCCCAGCTTTCCCTCACCCACCTTGACTTTCTCCTTTTGAACTTAGCAAACATGTTTTTGAGACTAACAATAGTATTCAATGCAATCCTGAAGGTACAAAAGGATAATTTTAAGTTAATTTTAGCTCCTCCTCCTCAAGCATCACCTGTTTTCCCAGTCATGCTTTTCTGTGCCAGTTCTTCATCCATGATTTTAATCGCTCCATAGACAGAGGGACATACAGGAAATTAAAAGATACAAAGGGGATCTACTTTTTACAAGCATGACAACTGTGTTAAAGCTCCTTCTCCCATTTCCTGTCTTTTGATATACATACACATTTTGGTCTGTACAATGTTGCTGACATCTCAGCCCACCCTGTTACTATTCCTGTCTTGATCTACACCATGAATGCCAAGCACTCAGACCTACACAGTACTTTTTAAAACAACTGCAACATTATATATACATACTTGGTTTTGTTTGTTTTCTCCCTAGTACTTATTAAATTAATCATGGTGTTGGCTGGAGTACACAGCATGCACAGATATTGTGCTAAGCTATCCCCAAAATAGATTTTGCTACTGCAATTTGCAGATTGTTGCATCACACTTCAGATCCAGGCTTCCCAGAGACAAGCTGCTGAGCTGGCATAGCTCTCTGCTGAAGCCCTAGATGATAAGAAATTAAAGCAGTTTAAAATGCTCATCTAAACCATACTTAAGGACAAAAGCCACAGTCAATCCATCTCTTTTTAAAACATTGTTTTAAAATGAGCCACTCTCATTTTATCTTCCCAGGTAAGACACTGTTTGCCTCTTTCAGAGGGGACAGAGAAAGATATAAGCCACAAGGTTCAGCACAAGTCTCTTGGGGAACACTGTCAAGACTAAAAGAGTAACTTCTCTTCTAAAAGACCCAGTCCCAACCTGCCTAAGGACCTGTTACCTCTCAAAAACTCTAAGGTCACTACTAGAGCACACAACATGACTTTATAATCTGCATTATTATTTAGTAAGGCACGTGCAATAGCGGCCATTACTATAAAGCACTGAGGACTGAGTATCAGCCTCCGCATGCCACTATAGTCAAGTATCCTAATCTTGTAATGACTTGACTATGCCCTGCTTGTCCAGCTTTCAACAGCAATCCAAAATTTGCTCCCCTGATCAGCTTCTTCACGTAAGATTTGTTAGCATGGAGATAATGTAGATCAACTTTCTTAAACAAAAAAACCCACACACAATACTTTAGACAGATCCAGCTAACAAGCTAGGTATCAATTCCACACAGATAGCTGACATGGGGAGTCAGTGGGGATCCACATGTTCACCCATGTTCTCCCTATGTATGATAAACCTACACAGAACATGACTTGGTATTAAAAGGGGTTTTTTTTATACAGTTCCTGGGTAAATAGGACAGGAGCCATCAACTATCCAGACTACTATTCTTGCGGGGAAAATACAAAAGAGCATGCCACTATCAGCAGTAAAGCAAGATTGAAAAGCATCAAAGATGATCCACAGATATCAGCGTGTGTGTATCTCCCTGGCTGGAAGAGCTCTAAGAGGTTGACTCACTCCACAGTGAGACTCTGCTGCAAAACAAACAAGTGGAAATTCTGACAGAGAGATTTTATGTTTTGTTTGATTGTTTCAACTTGCAGAGCAGAAGGGTGAACCAAACCCCACCAAAATAGACCAAAAAAATTCTTATCTGTTTCAGTGGACTTTGTGTTGGACAATGAGAGTGCATTCTTCAGTCATGCAAAACAGGCCTGACCTTGGGCACACATGAGCAAACATCTGACAAAATGAAGGGAAGTCATTATTTGGACACTATACCTCAGCTTAAAAGGGTCAGCTCCTGCACCTTTCAACCCCCCAAAAAAAACCCCAAACAACCAAACCCAAAAAAAACCACCAAAACAAAACAAATACCACACACCCCCCCCAGAAGCCCTCAATTATTCAAAGTTTGAGTTTATAAATGTTAATCATAAACCAAAATATTAGCACAGTATTACTACTCATATTTCATCTTTACCACAAACTCTTTGACAATAACATCAAGTGTTAATTATTAAGACAAAGCAGAACATGTACGTGCACATACATGCACAAGCGAAAATTTACTGCAAAGGAAGTAAGCAGAACATCAGCCTGACATGTTAGAAGAACTCGGGAAAACCTCATGGCTATTTTCATTTGTTCTTCCACGATAAAGTCTGCTGTCAGCACTGGCTGACCAGGGTTCTTGTTTTACATTACGCCTTCCTGTAAAGGTCTCACTAGATCTCAACTTGGAGCAACAGAAGCTCCTATCTTGCAAGTAGTTTAAAAAGTAACAGTAGCAATAAAAATATTTTCAAAACCCAAACAAAACACCAAAACAAACCCAAAAACCCAAGCCACATATTATGACCCTGCAAACTGTTTTCTACTAAACACTGTGCTACATCCATGTGGATCACGGATATCCTTCTATTTCTAGGCTGGCAAGCGTCCAAATTCAGAGCAATCAAGCTGTTTTGCTCTGAGGTTCTGATTACATTCAAACAAAAGGAAAACCCTAAACAACTGTAACTTGTGTCTCTTGCAGCAGCAATATTTACTATGAGAAGTAGCTATCTTTCCTATCTGTATCCCAACACAGTGTAAAACATCTTACATGCCGCTTGCTGCAAAACCAGCAGCTGTAATACCTCTAAAGGCCTTTTCTTTCCCTGAACCTTCCTTGACCCCAAGCTCT